GAATTTTGTCCATCATCAACACATACAATACCTTCTAGTGACCTGCAACTTGGGAAATCAAACAAGCGTATAAATCCTACTTGCATAGCTCAGTAGCATGGGATTGGAAATGATAGGAATGGTGTGACACATCAAGCCCCGTCATGTGCGGGTTTGACTGTGGTAAGGGGTTGGTTGGCTCGAAACCATTATTAAGGCCTTTTCCTAAGAACCTCTTTCCTGTCCACATCTACTGCGTCTCTCGGTTCTCATTTGAACAGCTGGTGAGTAACAACATTTGCAAGACCTGACCAGACACCTAAAGAGCAGAGAGGAGGAGTTAAGATCACTGACATCTGCGTGGGTGTTAGCGCCTCTTTGTGGGTGGGTTTGGGGAAATGTTCTTGCCAAAGACACCAAATGATCAGTCAATTCAAATAGTCGGTAATATGTTTCAATGTGCAAAGTTGACTTGTGGTAAAGGGAAATGGAGTTAACTGCTTGAAAGTTGTGAGAAAACGTTTAAGCTACATTGGTATGAAAAACCTGCCTCAATTTCTTGACCTGAAACAACACTGGAAAGCTTTATAAACATAATTTTATTTCTACTATTTCTTTCCAGACTCATTTCGTGACATTTCTTTGTAAAGTCAAATAAATTTTAAAGTGAGTTAAATGCTGTAAACTTAAGTGTCGTGACAAATAAGAAAAAAAATGTTTCTTTAAACCTAGTTTAAAACACATGTGACAAGATGTTAGAAGTTAATTTTTGTATTGATTGGTATTGCTGATTTTATAGAGTTTTGACTTGTAACTTGAAACTTGTATGTCATTTAATGGCTCTAAAAATGTCATGTGGTGTAGCCATGAAGTAATGAATGAATGAATGAATGAATGAATGAGTGAATAATAAAAAATATTAGAAGTAAATTTTTGTATTGATTGGTATTGCTGATTTTATAGAGTTTTGACTTGTAACTTGAAACTTGTATGTCATTTAATGGCTCTAAAAATGTCATGTGGTGTAGCCATCAAGTAATGAATGAATGAATGAATGAATGAGTGAATAATAAAAAATATTTAAAAAATAATAAATAGTAGCATGCTTTCTTTACAATTTGAATATGTGAAGAAATTGTAATTTTTACTTAAAAAAGGTTCTGAAATAAATTTATGTGCGTATTTATTTATTTGCAATCAATCAATCAGTAATAAAAAATATTTAAAAAATAATAAATAGTAGCATGCTTTCTTTACAAGTTGAATATGCGAAGAAATTGTAATTTTTACTTAAAAAAGGTTGTGAAATAAATTTATGTGCGTATTTATTTATTTGCAATCAATCAATCAATCAATCATTCATTCAATCAATCAGTCAGTCAGTCAATCAGTCAATCAAATATCATGGATTAAGTCAGAAATATCATTACATTTTTTGAGGGATGTACCACATGAAATTTTACAATGTGTCATAATTTAGCCTTGTCATAAAAACGTTAAATTTAAAATCTATTTTTAGAGACTATATATTATTTTTGAACCTGATACACAGTCAGGAGGGTCTGCAGGGGTTTTCTCTTTCATATAATTTCCTTTTTTTTCTTGCATCTTTCTGCACATTGGTTGTCCTCGGTATGTTTACTTTCTTTTTTAAAATTAGTTTTTTTTTTAAATTATAATATTATGACAGCTCTTTTTACTTGATGCTCCATAATAATAATAATAATAATAAGAAGAAGAAGAAGATGAAGAAAGAAGAAGAAATTACATTAAAAATGTATGTAATTACAACAAATTACAACACAAATTAATGTAAAAAAACCCATTAAAAAAAAACAAAACACTTTTTGGTCAATCCTGTGCTTTTGGCCGCTATCCCTTGCTTTTACAGCAGAATCAACAGAACTAGGACCACCACCCTCTCACACTAACATCCTGCCTGTGAACAGCCCAGTCTCCAGGATGTGTTTGGATGTCTTGCAGGCCAGTGTGGAGACAGCCGGAGGACCTCCATGGTGTTGCTGGGAGATGGAGGGGTCATTACTGGAGGATTAGCCGAAAGGATCAAGGGCTTACCCAGCAGGCAGCTGTGGACTCAGGGTCCCATCAGTGCAAAAAACTGTGAGAACCAGGTTCTTGCCAACTTTCTTCGTATGGGAAGACAGCCACTGTTTAGTCTAGACCAGCGAGCTATTGGCCAATGGCTATTGTGAGCAAATGTCACCTTTGGATCGTCTGCATAACACATAGCAAGCGCTGAAGTGGTTAATTTGTAAAGAACACCAAATCAGATGTTGGCACAGAGGTATCACAGCCTTGTATTCAGAAAGCCTTTCAGAAAAAAAAAGAGAGAGAAGAATAAATGAATGTTTATTGTGTTCCAGCGGGCAGCCTAATTAAACTCTGTCTAATTGTTGCCATTTTGAGGTTCCTGGGGTTGGATAATGTAGAAAGCACAGTTGAGATGCTCCAGTTGGAGAGATGAATAATAATATCTACTTGACGTCATATTGACTCCTTTAATTGCTGAGCATAAGGGACTTCATTCAGATGCTTTTATCATAGTTGCTAGGTGACCACGGCCAAACACGGGTTATGTGGAACAACTCTGTGAATGCAAATTTAAGCAATTAAGGGAAGGAGCATGAAGGCTCTTCTGCAATATCTCTTCACATAAGAGAAAAAGAGACACATCAGCATCGACTAAAATTCACAAATGCCATGTAGAGAAAATCTACATGAAACACAAACGTAAACTCGCACTCTGTGGGACTCTTGTAAACCGCTTGGCTGGACACAGGCTTTTAAGATTCCCAGCAGTAGGTTCATTAGTGGACAGAATAGAGACTGGTGCTATATCTGGAGTATGTGATTGAGTGTCCACAAACAAACATAATGACTGCTGCTCTTCTGCTCTCCTGTGCCTTTTAAAAAACAATCTGGCCTCTTCCCTCCATCTATGGTGCCCAGAAAGCTTAAGTGGGCCAAGGCACGTCAATGGAGCCAGCATGACCATTACTCTCCTTCGCAATCAGAACAATAAGTATTGGATCATATGTCCTAATCCCTTGTGAAACAAAAGTACACTTAATTGTACTGAATGTCCACCTGGAGTGTACTTAAAAATATATATTTTTTAAAAACTGTACTTGCAGATAACTTCATATTACTTGAGCAAAAGGCCACTTAAGTGTACATAGAGGTCCAAATTCAGGCCTGTTTCTTAACACCCTTAAGTACACTTTTACAAAAGTGTACTTGTAATAATAGTAAAATGCAGTAATAATTTCTAATTATTATTATTATTATTATTTTTAATTTAAAGCAAAAATTATAAAACAAATATTATTATTGAATTGAATTGAATTGAATTGAAAGCACATGTAAAGTACTTGATTATAATTTTAATGGTAATGTTATTCAATATTACATTTGAAAATTAATATATTTGAAATGCACTAAATTTCAACTTCATTACAAATGTGTAAATACAAACATATTTAAATAGATTACTTACATGTTTCAAAAGAAATGACAAGTATATTTTAGTTTACCATAGATGTTTGTCAGGTTATTTGACAGTATCGTTTAACCATATTTCAAATAATATTTTCAAATTAAATTACGTATAAAGATGGACTTAAGTCCTACTTAAGTAGGTCAAAAAGTTAAGTAGGTCCAGAAGCTCAGTTAATTGTATTTAATATAAAATTATTATTATTATTATTTGCAATTACCATGCAGTTATGTTTCTGAAAACATTACATTCAGTTCACACTTATAGTTAACCCAATAATAAATATTTTATTATCTGTTACTGCTAAACACAAAAGAAGATATTTTGAAGATTGTTGATAACCAAACAGTTGACGATAGCTGCTAACTTTCATAGTATGGAATAAAAATACGGACATGAATGGCTACCGTTAACTGTTTGGTGTGTGTGTGTACCGTTAACATTGAGGTTGAGGTTGAGAAAATTTGATTTTTTTTTTTTTTTTTTTTCGGTGACCTATCCCTTTAAGTATAGTATATATTTTTTTAAGTATTATTATTTCCGTAATAAGTAGCCTTTTTAAAAAGTATACTAAAGTATGTTTTTTCAAGGATTATGGGTCTGAGAGGGTTAAAATAAAGGCAGCAAAATTTGATGCAGGTCCACTTTGAGAGCCCTCCTTAACCACAATTAGGTAGCCACAAGTACTTCTACCATGTTTGGTTTGATTTATAAGGTCTGCGGGGCCCTTAATACTCAGGCTTCACCACATCCGTTTGCGCATTTCTCCCTCTATTCTTCCTCATTTCCTTTTCTACCTCTTTCTGCACTGTCTCAGAGTCAGGGAGAGGATGTGGGGTCTCTGATGACCCATAACAGAGGCCCCGATGAAAATAGAGGTCAGATCGCCCCTCTATAGTATAAGAGAGCGGGCAAAGGTGCTGCCACCAAATAAGTGGGCTATAAAGCAGTTCCTTCGTTGTGAGTTTTGTTTGGCTGTAAGATTTATTGCTCTGGCCCGGTTCCAGATCTCGGATATTAAGAAAGGACTGGGACTGGTCTGTGGAGATTAAGTTATATGAATATTTACACCGAAAGCCTCAAACAATGTCTGCGTCCCATTTGTATTTGAAGTGCCCTCCATTTACAGCTGGATTTAATCTGTGTCTCTCTCGACTCCATAGAGCTGTTCCCTTCTGAAACACACACGCACACACACACAGTTGTAATCATATAGCTCCAAAGCATCCAGCATGACTGAGAGGAGACACACACACACACACACACACACACACACACACACACACACACACACACACACACACACCTTCTGACCTTCCTTTTCTAAACCCAAGCTGATTTGTACTGGACTGTACAGTTAAGTGTAATTGATAAACGTACAAAACTCTTTTTGGTCGATTTTAGCATGAAAACATGACTAGCATAGATGCTAATATGCTAAAACCTGCATTTTTCTTGCTAAATGTACTTGCTGTTCAGAATTCTAGATTAGTTGTGGGATTATTTGATGCTCTGCTCACTGCCAGTCAGAGAACAACTCAGTTTTTTCCTTAAGTTGTTGGATAAATAAGCAAGTAATCCATAAACAAACATTACACAACACTGCAAGTCTGTACAGAACTCTCATTTCCCAAGTCTCTGTGTGAAGTGTCTTCTCAAGTAATCGACTGTATGTTCATTCAGTAATAGCTGGCAAATTTCACAAGAAAGGACAAGTAACACTAACAATTCAAAATAAAGTTAAGTAGAAAGACCGTATTTATTATATTAAGTTTTATTTTAAATATATAAGTAGAAAGTGTGTGTATGTGTACTGTATGCATATGTTTACAGTTTGTGTATGAATTTATTATTTTTAGGGAAATGCTAATTTAAAGCAAAACTTTAATATCTACTGGTCACCTCCTGAAAAAAAGAGGGGAAGAAAGAAAAGCAGAGTACTATAGGGAAGTACAAGAAACGTAGCAACTGAGATGAAGGATAAGATCTGACACTAATTATGGGGGCGAGTTAGGTGTGTCTGTGTCTAGCAGGACCCTCAGGCAGTGATTCATGGCCTAGTCCTCAAGCAAAAGCACAGTAGTGCATGGGGGTAAACAACCACCGTAAATGATGTTAACTGAAGAAGCGCCTCAGCCCAACTGAAAAACAGCCATATTTTGATGAGTGCTGCCCACTGTTTTTAGATAATCAAATGAATACTAGGTTTTGCCACAAAAGTGCTGACAGTCAAACAATGTATTTGTGTGACAGAGAACTTGGTGTGCTATATTGCAACATACAGCACATTACTCGTGTGCTGTGACACACTTCACTAACACAGCAGCCATTATGTAACTAGGCACAGTTTACGGCTTTCCATGAGAGGTTTACAGAAAGTTCAGTTGGTGAAAGTTTCTGTGAAAACATGTCAAACACATGCTGGTAAATGTTCTTTTCCTCTTTTACTCCAACATGAGTATCTGATGCAATGTGCTAGACATAATGTTCTGAAATAGCAAAATCACGCAGTCACATTATTTCCTACACCATTTCTGGCTATTTAGAACATATATAGATTTGTAGTCCTTTGTATCATGTGGGATGTACAATGAAGGAAGTGGGAAAGTACTACATTTTAAAATGTATTATTCCACAAACCTTTTAACCAACTTGTCTTTAAAGGTCAAGTGTGTGATTTCTGCATTTCATGAGAATTGTACAAAAAATTGTTCGATCAAACGTTTTACATTGTTCAAGCAAACAGCCATAAACACAGGCCATTGGGTAAATAAATTTCAATTTCATGCATTTTTGCAGATGCTTTTATCCAAAGTAACTTTCAGTAGAAGAACATAAGCAATGCGACATAAGCAATGCGCCATAATTATTCATCAGTATTATTAGGTCCAACCCAGTTGGGCGGCTCAAACAGATACCAGTTCCACTTCATGCCAGTAATTTCTTCATTCTCATGTCATTCAAAACCAGTATTATTTTCTATCTTCCGAAATGTAAGAAGTTACTGAAAATCTAAGCTCTCAAATTTCGTTTATGAGTGAGTAAATTTGAACTTGGTGCTTTAAAAGGGTTCAAAAGACATCAAACACCATTGGTTCTCTTGTGTTTCAGTTTTCACACGTTTGAATGTGTTAAAGGGATAGTTAACCCAAAAAAATGAACATTTGCTGTTAATTTACTCAACCTCAGGCCATCCAAGATGTAGGTGACCCTGTCGCATATAATAATGTATGCGCAGGAGCAAACTCACATGAGCAATCTTCCTGAAGTTGATTGCACAAGCAAATGATTTGTAATTTTTATAAAGGTTGTGGGATCCAAGATAAGTACACGCAAGTACCATTTTGATGATGACATTTGTAAACACGCTCAGGACTGTTTGCCGGGGCTGTGGATTAAAGGTAATAATGCTGTAAATAATGTTCAGTTTCTTGCACAGACTGATTGTTTTGCTTCATAAGACCTCAATATATATTGTCAGGAACCACAAGTATTCATTTTGTGTTGTCTGTATATGCTTTTTTGACTCTCCGGTGCCTGAAGCTATTGACTTGCATTTTATGAATCACCAATTTTTAGTTTTCAACTAAAAAAATCTTCTTTACTGTTCTATTCAAAAACAAAAAGCCAAAGCAAAGCAAATTTTCATTTTTGGGTGAACTATACCTTTAAGGTTTGAGATATCCATTATGATAGACATTCCATGAAAATCAACCTGAGTTTTGCACTTTTTGAAGCATAAACACCGCAATGGGCAAAAAGCTTGATATTTTGCCAAACGTGTGCTAAAATTTAAAAGAAAACAAATTAATATTAAAATTCAATCAAAAAAAAAAAAAAAGAACTTTGACAGTGTTGTGTAGTTACTTTGACAGTGTTGTATAGTTACTGTATTTTGCCATTGTGGACAACACAGTCGTTGCTCATTTATAGTGAATGGAAAAGAGCATCTTCAGCATTCTGCAAAATTTATCCTTTTGTGTCCCACAGAAGAAAGAAAGTCATACGGGTTTGGATTGACGTGAGAGTGAGTAAACAATGGCAGATTTTCATTTCAACTAACTTGCACGTCTTCTGTTGCCTTTCTTTTTTGCTTCCTTTCTCATTCTTACTTTCTTGTTTTATGTCTTCCATAAGCCTTCTCTCATAGGAACTATTGTTTTTTGAGACCCATCAGCTTCCCGCTGTGGATGGGGCTCTTCAATGTTTTCCAGCTGTACATATTTTGAGAGTGTGTGTGTGTGTGTGTGTGTGTGTGTGTGTGTGTGTGACTGCATTTAGAGTTGCTACATTCTCACATTGCGTCTGCCCTCAACTACTCTGATTCATCAAAACATATTAGAGAGGCCTATGCGCTCTATATGTAGGGGATGTGTCTGTGTGTGTGTGTGTGTGTGTGTGAGTGAGTGTATGTGTTCACGAAAGTGAGCCTGAGCAAACTGTAAACACATAAATCCACCCATATAAAGGAAATAGAGGAATTATTAAGCACATGCACAAACACGCACACACATAAGTAACCTGTAATTCCCATAAATGAGGGTGTGGGTTCAATGCTTTAGGTCTCCAAGTTTAGATTCGGGCATCGCATGAGCCAAGCTGCCTGACTCATCTAATCAAAAGCCTTTTCTCTGTAAATCACATCATAATTCTTCTGAATGCACTCTTTGGCTCTTTTATAAACAACACATTATAACATTTCAAACACAGCTGAAACATTTTATTCCAGCTGAAATCTATTACTGCATCCACTGAAAGATATCCTGAGGATGTATATACAGCACACATGAACAATGAAATGAACACAACATCTGCACGCCAAGAATTACTATCCAGATTTCATGTTGAAATGTGTAACGTAATACAAACAGTTGATGTGATAGGACCAGATTTTCATGTCAACTGTGGAACAAAAGACACATCAATCTAAACAGGCAGACATGGAAGGGATTCTGACTGCGAATACTGAAGAATGAAGCAATAAACCGAACAATAGAATCTCTGTTATTGTAGAGTTCAAACATTGTTTTATCTGCAGATAATGCACTGACATAGCGCATCTTTTTATGAAGGTATGTTTCCTCCTTCCCTTTTTTTTTTCCGCTCGCCGATTATGCATATCCATTTCAAACACAGCTGAAACATTTTATTCCAGCTGAAATCTATTACTGCATCCACTGAAAGATATCCTGAGGATGTATATACAGCACACATGAACAATGAAATGAACACAACATCTGCACGCCAAGAATTACTATCCAGATTTCATGTTGAAATGTGTAACGTAATACAAACAGTTGATGTGATAGGACCAGATTTTCATGTCAACTGTGGAACAAAAGACACATCAATCTAAACAGGCAGACATGGAAGGGATTCTGACTGCGAATACTGAAGAATGAAGCAATAAACCGAACAATAGAATCTCTGTTATTGTAGAGTTCAAACATCGTTTTATCTGCAGATAATGCACTGACATAGCGCATCTTTTTATGAAGGTATGTTCCCTCCTTCACTTTTTTTTTTCCGCTCGCCGATTATGCATATCTGTTGTCACGGCCCATTTGAAGGCACAAGTTAATCCGTCACATCATCAGCTGACCAAACTAACTCCTAAAACATCATCTGGAGTGCAAACCATTAGTTTGACTGCATGGTTTCTGAGTAAAACAGTGTAGGAATTACCCACAGGGAAGAGAGAGAAAGCACCCGCTACATTTCAAAGATTGATGTCTATGGTTTTGGGTGACGTTCCGAATTGTAACATCTATTTGGATGACGTAGTCATTTATTCTTCTGTATGGTCTGATCACATTTCCACGTTGCACAATGTTTTTAGTCGATTAGCAGCCGCATCCTTAACACTAAACTTGAAAAAATGCGACTTTGCAAAAGCTTCCGTCACATATTTAGGAAAACAGGTCGGGAACGGTCAAGTCCGTCCTGTGGACGCAAAAGTGACGGCTATTCTTGTGTATCCTGTACCTGCTACCAGACGAGAGTTGCGACGATTTTTGGGGATGGCTGGCTATTACAGATGTTTCTGTAGAAATTTCTCAACTGTGGTTGCCCCTTTAACAAAAATGTGTAGTCCTAAAGTTGTGTTCAAGTGGACTGACGAATGTCAAAGTGCATTTGTGTGCTAAGTCTCTCCTTTGCAGTGCTCAGTGTTGTCTGCTCCTGACATAGCTCGCCCGTGCAAGCTTGAGGTGGACGCCAGCGCGTATGGAGTGTGAGCTGTCCTGCTTCAGGATGGTACTGATGGAATATCCCATCCCGTATCCTATTTTTCTGCTAAATTCAATCGTCACCAATTGAATTATTCTACTATTGAAAAGGAGACTTTGGCTCTGTTGCTTGCTTTAGAGCATTTTGACGTGTACGTTGGATACAGTTCCATTCCCATCGTTGTCTACACGGACCACAACCCGTTGGTTTTTTTTAAATAAAATGTACAATCATAACCAACGTCTAATGCGTTGGGCTTTAATGGCTCAGCGTTACAATCTTGATATACGCCACAAGAAGGGAACTGATAACGTCGTGGCAGATGCTCTTTCTCGGGGCTAGGTAATTGTTTGTTTTCCACTAAGTTTCACTGGGGTTGCGTGTGTGTGCGTGTGTCTATATATATATATATTTATTTATTTATTTTATTTATTTATTTTATTTATTTATCTTTTTTTCAAAATATGAAGATTTATTTCACTTTGCAGCCAGGAATCTCCATTTGTTTGCATTGATGCAAAATCTCTGTCACACTATATTTTAAGGTCGAATTCATGCCTTTAACAAACCATTAACAATGACTTTTGCCACAATAAACTTATAATTTAAAGAATGAAGCAATAAACCGAACAATAGAATCTCTGTTATTGTAGAGTTCAAACATTGTTTTATCTGCAGATAATGCACTGACATAGCGCATCTTTTTATGAAGGTATGTTTCCTCCTTCACTTTTTTTTTTCCGCTCGCCGATTATGCATATCTGTTGTCACGGCCCATTTGAAGGCACAAGTTAATCCGTCACATCATCAGCTGACCAAACTAACTCCTAAAACATCATCTGGAGTGCAAACCATTAGTTTGACTGCATGGTTTCTGAGTAAAACAGTGTAGGAATTACCCACAGGGAAGAGAGAGAAAAAAATCTAGACTCAAATGCGATTAAAAGTATAATCATAAGAAGACCTCTTTTAGAGTTTCAAAAAAACAAGTCAACAGATTTGCCAAGACAGCAAAATCTTGGCAAATTCAGTGTGAAAGAACTGGACCCAATGTTATCCCCTGCAGAAAACATGTTTAAAAAGAGTACATATTATGGAAATATCATACAGAATATTCTGGGAACTTAATTACATGTTAAGTGCAATTCATATATTTGTAATTACACATTTGTAAGTATGAATTTGTAATTTAATACATTTAAATTGTATTTACCTTGTCAAATCAAATAACAAACTACATTTTAAATTATAATCCAGTATTTTACACATGCTTCAGTATGTTTGTCAACACATTAAAATAAGTGTACTCCTTTAGAGAATGACAAAAACATTAAAACATTCTACTTTAATGCAAAACTTTAAATTGGGCATCATTACAAAATGCACATACGTACGCTTAAGTGGCCGTTTTTCTTTAATATTATTTTATATTCAGGTACAGTTTATATATATA